CAGGCTACCAGCAGTTACATGCAAAAAGCATGTCAACTGACTTTTGTACAAGGCCGGGTATCATGCATGCCTGATGGCCTGTTTATAATATCTCTGAGACATCGATTGTTAAAGATGTGTACAGTCCATATGTACACAAATTAAGGCTTTGTTTACATTTCGGTATCCAAAATATAGAATTTTATTCGACAACTATTTATATTTTCATGATTCTAGAGTATAATAAATTATAAAGACACAACAATCAAGCTTTGCAAGAACATAAAACGAAATAAAATCTAAATAAACTGTTTGTATAAAAGAGGGCTCCTCCTTTGTGCACATGTGCTCTTCCGATCTGTACAGCATCTTTAACATAATATGAAATAATCCTACTGACCTATACTCATACATTCACTGGCTGTGTCAAGCAATATGTTTCCGGGTATGCTATTCTTGGGTTTCACTAACTAGGCATTATGCAGTGGATCTGATGGGGGCTCAACCTCACATGTATTGATACTTATGCTGTACTGGAGTAATAAATTATACGAAATTCCATGTATTGCCACCAAACACAAGGCTAATACATAAAACAAACAATCGACTCACTCTGTGACCCCCCGTCACTTCTGTGACGTCATATGAAACCCAAGAATATTCTTCGTTAATGCTCACAATTTCTTTCTTATATAGTTTTGTAGTTCTGACTGAGTACAATCTCTGACTGAGTACAATGAATGGTGTCATCTGAAGCTGACATATTAATTAAACAAAAATGTTAACAAATAGATTTTGTCTCCCCATCAGATTGTTCGGTTGATTTGCATGCAATAGGGGTGGCCTTGAAGGTGCCATGTAAATAATAATTGGGACAAAAACTGACTTAGTATTTCTACAGTGTGTCTCAAAAAAAAGTGAACCCTTTCAAATTCAAATCAATGCAATTAGACAGCAGTCAAATTGCATTGAATTAATAGTTACGTAAGAACACAAGGAATACTGTATTTGTTTTAAATTTTCTACTTTTTATTTCTTTCAGTTTTGTCCCATGAGTACAAGACCTTGTGTTCTTACCCAATCATTAATTCAAAGCAATTAGAGCAGTCAAATTTGAAAGGATTCTCTTTTTTTAGACACACTGTATATATGATATTATACAGTATTCAGTGGCTAGCTAGCCATGGCAACTGGTCATGTTATCCTAATAAACCTGCATATATTGTAATAAACATACAAAAGCAAGAAATTATAAGCATTGAAGGTGTTCATATAAAACTGCCCAATGCCAAGAAAGTAGAAATAGAATATTTATCTGACCTTTGACTTTGTGCAAGGTGTTTGATATTCAAATTGTACTTTTCCTACCTCATGAACATGTGTCTTAGGGCTGTTTACGGTAAATATTGGAAGCCGGGTGATTTTAATGTATTGAAATAAGTCAACAGAATTCAAATGTTGTAGTTCAAGAAGATTACTATTGCTGCTTGAACAACCTTGCTGAATCGTGCACAGTAATTTATTTTAGAATTAATACATCAAAATAATCCTGCCTGGCATCTCGTCCTGGCAAAGCAGGATCATGTATAGCCTCCTCCGCAGGCAACTCTTTTGCAAGAATTGGCAAAAGTATTATTATGAATAAAAAATTGGCAAAAATGTGAATGTTATAGGGTTACACTCTGTGATCCCTAACAATCCCTAACTTTAAATTCGCTGTTATTCATAATATTTTTGCCAAAGAGTTGCCTGCGGAGGAGGCTAGATCATATAAACAGTCCCTTATTTATCAAATTGCGCATGCTGCCTTTGATCCCTTGGGGGTGAGGCAGCACTTTCCTTGCGATAGTAACTTCTAGTTATTAAAACCTAATTGTACATTGAGTATTAATTGTGTCTTTGTATAAGACACTTGAAATTAGACTCAAGGTTCGTGCCTTTTTAATTCGATCTGGAAGATTTTTTTATATATATAAACATATTTTATTACAGTGTTTGCCCTATAAAGCAGTGATCCTGATTCCTGAGCATATAAAAGATCTCTTGCCCAGACTAAGATTTGGTTTAGGTAAAGCCTGGCGCACACAATGCGATTTTAGTCGGCCGATAAAAATCGTTTGACATACCGATATACATCGGTATACTCCGCACACGATTACGAAAAAAATATGTTCCCTGGACTGTAGCCGCCATGTTGCCAAATAAATACAAGCACGTGATCACAGCATGAAATCTGATTGGTTATACTTAAAATTCCACCGATAAAAATCGTATAATATCAAAACGTTTTGATGTTGTCCTATTAAAATCGAGCAAGAAAAATCGGTTAAAAATGACACCGCACACACAACGATTTTGTTAGTTTTAGTCAAACGATTTTTATCGGCCGACTAAAATCGCATCGTGTGCGCCAGGCTTAAGTGCAAATCATCTTTCCTTCTGGTATTATAAGAATGAATATTTGAATTCCTTACAAAATATCCACTTAAATATTCTGGGACTAAATTGTTCAAACATTTAAATACTAAAACACACTTGTGAATTTGTCTACGAGTAGATAAGTCTACCCAATTTAAAATGTCAAGCGTATTTCTAGAGCTTTCTCGTTGTAAAATTATTCATGCTGCACGGTTTTGCAGTTTTTAGAGGCTTTGAGAACACCCAGCAGGCAGCTCGGACCATACAGCATCAATGTAGTCAAAAATAGGTTGCACCACTGAATTGTAAACACATTTAGATGACTCGATTGTCAAGCAAGACCGTATTCACGAAAGTATAGACCTAATATAATCGCTTGCTCACTTGCTCACACGTTGAAAATCTCTTCCGTATCGGTTCTTTCCATGATATTTGTTCATCTAGCATTACATTACGCCTAAGTAACCAAACTTTGGCACTATTCTAAGTGCAATCATGCGTGGCATCCAGAGCCGTAGCGAGCGTGGGGGGGGGGTAACACCCTCCTGATAATTGCTCATATGAGCAATTTCAGGTAAATTCAGGTAGATTTGCAGAAGAAATTCGGGTAAATTAACGCAAACTCAGGTAATTCCTAGGACAAGGGAAAGTTAATTTACAAAAATAACTATGAATTTGGAAATAAATTAAGTATATTTACAAAAAATTAGAATATTCTAGAAATTTTCGGAATTGTAGAAAACTTTTTTGACTGATAAACGGAGAAAATTTGTGATGTCCAAAAATTTTTTTATGTCGCGAAAAATTTTGATATGTCCGGAAAATTTTTTTACCTCTAAAATGGTGCACTGACCGAAATCTTTTGGGCGACGGGGGGGGGGGGGGCAGTTCGCCAAAAATATTTTTTT